CTCCATCTTCTGTATCTCTATTTTGTAAAAAGGCATGGCCATGAGCCCTGTTGACTGCAGCTTTCTCTTGAGCATGCCAGCACTCCTTGAGTGTGTATTCTTACTTTATATGCACACAAGTCTTGCTTCTTTGCTAAACTTTACCAATGTTTCATCCTCAAAGTCTTTCTTGCATTGGAGACAACAACCTGGACCCAGATGCCTCACAACACCACCAACCAAACTTATCTATATACCGTTCTCATTGTTTATTGCTGTTTGCAGCTTTGCCATTTCATTCCTTCTCTTTGTCTAGGACTTTTCATGAGAAGGGACTTAACTACCACGCAAGAAGGTTCTTTTCCTAATAGTCAATAGAAACATGAACAAATTTAAATCTTTGACCTTTGGAAAATTGTGAAAAGAAGAAAAATTCCCCTGTCCCAAAAGCACTGAGATCATTAGTGACTAACGTTGTGTGTAGCAGATGGAGACACAATTGGTCAGAGAGAAGCTGCCCTTGGAAAATTCTATTCAGCTAAAAGAGAACAAGGTCAAAATATTTTGTTTGGATAAATAACTCTGACAACTGTAGATTTCCTACTTTGTATGGCATAGTCTCCAAACAAAAATGTCTGACTGCTCGCTGCAATAAATACATTCTCTAGTTTTCCACAGATCTGCAAGTAATTCTGAAAACAGAGCAAGCCTTGCTGAGAACCTGTGTGGTCAAGTTCACAGAATGTTCCCATGCTGGACATTCCTATTTGGCTACAGCTTTCCTTTGGGATTAGATCAGAAATATCCTACAGGGGAAAAAGGATGAGAGAGAGAGAGAGAGAGAGAGAGAGAGAGAAAGAGCTATAAAGTAGACCGCATTAATAATGCTTATAGACTCCATGGAGAAATGACCTGAAAGAAATTTCTTCATTTTCTACACAGGCAGATGCTTTCGGCTAAACAACAAGTGTTCTCTCCTTGCTTTGATCATGGAAAAGGCAACCTTTTTGTGTAGGGTTGGAATCAAGATAGCCTACTTACATTTAGACTACTTTTGCTTCTAGAGTCATGGGGAGAGCCATACCATTGAAGTACAAAACAAAACAAAACGGTATATCATCATTTAAAATCATGCTATAGAGGTGGGGATGTGGCCTGGACGTTTAGATACCAGTTAAAACTCCTGTATCCCATATTGTAATACCTGGGTTTGATTACTTCTCTCCAGATCCAAATTCTGGTTTCCAGCTAATGCAAATCATGGGAGGCAATAGCAATGGCTCAAATAATTGGATTCTCACCACCCACATGGTGGTAAATGATTCCCAGTTCACAGATTCATTGAAGGCAGTTGGAGAAGGAATCAGTAGATAGGAGCTTTCTCCATCTCTCTTTCTCTCTCTCTCTCTTTCATATATTCTTAATATATTATTATATAAAATATATTATTATATCATATATAAAATCATGTTATTTAAAGTTATCAGTCATGATTTGGTCATTTTCTAACTTTGTTTGCCTTAGAAATCATCATCTATTCTGTTGCTGTAAGGCATTGGCAGGAGATTTCAATTTAAGACAAAAACAACAGCAATTAACGTATCCTAACTACAAGGGTACATCACAAAACTCACAGAAAATGGAATTCAAACGTGGTTTATATTTGTACAAAACATTTTGAATTTCACACAAATGGTTCTCAAAAAGTTTAAGAAAATGCTTATTATGAACAACTGTACATGAATTTAAAAATATTTTTGCACTGGACCTGGCATGGTATCACAGTGGATTAGGTTGTCAACTGTGACACTGGCATTCCATGAGGACGCCCTTCAAGACCTGGCTGCTCCCATTTTTTTTTTTTTTTTTTTACAGGCAGAGTGGACAGTGAGAGAGAGAGACAGAGAGAAAGGTCTTCCTTTTGCCGTTGGTTCACCCTCCAATGGCCGCCGCAGCTGGTGCGCGGCGGCCGGCGCACCGCACTGATCCGATGGCAGGAGCCAGGTCTCCCATGGGGTGCAGGGCCCAAGCACTTGGGCCATCCTCCACTGCACTCCCTGGCCACAGCAGAGAGCTGGCCTGGAAGAGGGGCAACTGGGACAGAATCCGGCACCCCGGCCGGGACTAGAACCCGGTGTGCCGGCGCTGCAAGGTGGAGGATTAGCCTAGTGAGCCGCGGCGCCGGCCAAGGCTGCTCCCATTCTAATGCAGCCCTTTGCTATGGCCTGGGAAGGCAGCAGGAGATGGTCCAAGTGTTTGGACCCCTAATGAAACCTGAGTGAAATTCCAGAGTCAGACCCAGCTCCTGCCATTGCAGCCATTTGAGGTATGAACCAGTGAATGGAAGATATTCTCTCTCTCTCTCTCTCTCTCTCTCTCTCTCTCTCGGTGTGTGTGTGTGTGTGTGTGCATGTGTGTGTATGTCTGTCTGTCTGTCTTGCCCTATCTCTCTGTGATTCTTTCAAATAAGTAAATAAAACTCTTTTTAAAAATTGCACCAGAATAAACATATCTTTTAACTGTATTTTCCATTAACTTTTTGTATATCAAAGATGACTCAAAACCGAGCCTCGAGCCTGCAGCGCCATCAGCTCCACACTCCCGAATCAAGGAGAAGCAGTTTTCCTGCTTCAAATTCCAGCTCCTCCTTTGTCTCGCCTGCTGCCTCTGGCAGCCATAGTGAGGAAGATTCTGGACGACCCCTTTTCCCCATGATCTCCCTAACAAATTGTACAAATTATGGGAATGGAAAAAAACAGGAATCCCATTCCACTGTCTTAGCCACCCTAAGTAGCATGGCGTAGGACAAAATAGGACTTAAACAAATAGTTCTTTTCTAGCAGAAAACTATCCTGAGATAACCCCATTAAAAACTGCTCAGTTACACTAATACAGGAATTTAAGAGAAGCAAAAACATTAACATTGATGACTGCACTGCTGGAATATGTAGCAAACTGTATACCCAAGCTTTCCTGAAGAATGCTATCCCTCTCACAGATACAGACAGGCAGTAAAATAGCTTTGGCATTTTAATGCTAGTGCATTCTAAAGTTCCAGATGACAGCTGCATAGCCAAGATTTTAAAGCCATCAGAAAATTCATGCTCCACAATGATCACAGCTGGACCCATCGATCAAATGTTTTTGCTCAAAAGAGATGCAGTAGTTGGTAGATAATTAAACGCTGCGTGGTCTGGACTTTGGATTCTTAATCATGGGAGATAGATTTGGAGGGAAAATTAAATATAAAGCTTTTCCTGTCACTTTAAGACTTAGATGGAGATTTCTAAGGCCCTTATGATCCTAGAATATTCGGTGAAGTCTGCATTCAAAACTGTGTCTATACTTGTTACTAGTTATATAGGCAATGAGAGATTCGGCTTAATCCCTACCAAGTCTCTAACACAGCCATCACACAGAAAGTAGTCCGTGGCCATAGCGCTCTCAGAAATGATGGACTTCTGTTCCATTTCTTCCATACTTAAATGTTATAAAATCAGTTAAGATGCTCTTCACAGAGGATGCAGAAAATCCCGACTCTAATGGTCCTAGTTACGAAAGTATTTTTAAAATCGGGTATAAAAGGAATTTAAAGCCTAACGTGGCACTCGCATCAGATAACTAGGACTTCAGTCCTGCTTCCATGAGACTTCTTGGCTCTACCTTGCTGCTGTTTTGTTCATTTTCTAGCCAATGCTTATTAAAACTATCTACAGGGGCCGGCGCCGTGGCTCAATAGGCTAATCCTCCACCTTGCGGCGCCGGCACACCGGGTTCTAGTCCCGGTCGGGGCGCCAGATTCTGTCCCGGTTGCTCCTCTTCCAGGCCAGCTCTCTGCTATGGCCAGGGAGTGCAGTGGAGGATGGCCCAGGTGCTTGGGCCCTGCACCCCATGGGAGACCAGGAAAAGCACCTGGATCCTGGCTCCTGCCATCGGATCAGCGCGGTGCGCCGGCTGCAGCGGCGGCCATTGGAGGGTGAACCAACGGCAAAGGAAGACCTTTCTCTCTGTCTCTCTCTCTCACTGTCCACTCTGCCTGTCAAAAATAAAAATAAAAAAAAAATAAAAAAAAAAAAACTATCTACATGCCAGCCTTGACGTAAGTGCCATGGGTATGTTTTCACTAAGGTAATCCTCACAATACTCCAACAAAGTTGACCTCCTACTATTATTGCCAATGAGTGAACTTTAGAAACATATTAACTTGTGGGGCCGGCCCTCTGGTGTAGTGGGCTGAGCCTCTGCCTTTGGTGCCAGCCACATCAGATGGATGTTGGTTCTAGTCCTGACTGCTCCTCTTCTGATCCGGCTCTCTGCCATGGCCTGGGAAGGTAATGGAGGATAGCCAAGTGTTCAAGGCCCTGCACCTGCACGGGAGATCCGGAAGAAACTCCTGGCTTCAAATTGGCACAGCTCTGATCTTGCGGCCACTTGGGGGGTGAATCAGCAAATGGAAGACCTCGCTCTCTCTCTGCCTCTACCTCTCTCTCTCTGTAACTCTACCTCTCAAATAAATAAATTTAAAAAATATTTGTTAAAAGAAAAGATAATACCAAGATTTTTCAGCATTTAAAAAAAAGAAACATTAACTTTTTAAATCAAAATGTTCTATGCATTACAACTACTAATTTTACAAGGAAGAGGATGAGGCACAGAGAAAGTGGCTAAAAAACACAAGACCGCACAGCTAGCAAGTGGCACAGCTGGGAAGCGAAGCCTGCATTTTGACTTCCAAACAGATTTTCATAACCATCAGGCCGTCTAACTTCATTGTCTCAGAATGGAATCATGATGGCAGAAATCCCCTCCACACAGGAGGAGCTCACTCCTTTGTGTTTTTTAAACTATATTTTTAAATGTTTAATGAATACATAAGAATTGCACATATCAATGGGTTCAGTGTGACATTTCAATCCAAGTGTACAGTGTGTCTTGATCAGATTAAGGCAGTTAGCAGACTCATCACCGCCAAAAAAAAAAAAAAAAAAAAAACTAACAATCATAGCGATTTCATTCTTCCTTCTCTGACTACTTCTTACCTGAGAATTTCCTTCTTTCCTGTCTCACCTCTCTGTTAATCACCTTCTCTGTGCTCTTTTCACTGTTGCTAGAGAGACAGCGGTCAGCAAGTAGATGCAGTCAACCACAGGAAAGTGTTCTCTGTGCTGGAGGAAAAACTTCATAGCCAGACAGAGAGATGAGTAAACACTGTGATTGCAGGGTAAGGAAGTGAAGAGTAATGAGCATGAGGTAGGAGATATTTTGGCTAGGACGGTGAAGCATCAAGAAGGTGACATTAGGGTAAAGGCACAAAGACTGTGAAAGAAAATAAGAGGTAGCTTGACAGTGTTGGCATTAGGGCCCTGAGCATTGACTTCAGAAGTTCAATTCCCTGCTCGGTCATACATGTGCAAATCATATCAAGTCCTTTGACTACAAAATAAGGGCTACACATAGGTTGTTGGGAGGATTAAATGAGTTGATACTTGTCACTATGTATGTGCTCCAACTGCAAATGCTCTGTAAATGCTGACTCTTGTCATTATTACGGAAGTTGTGGTCCGAGCACAGGTAACAGCAAGTTATCTTTCTTTTTCTTTAAGTTTTATGTGTTTATTTGAAAGGTAGTTACAAAGAGTTACAAACAGAGAAGGAGAGACAGAGAGAAATCTTCCATTTACTCCCCAAATGACCATAACTGCAGGTGCTGGGCCAGGCCAAAGCCAGGAGCTGAAACTCTACCTGGGTCTCCCATGTGGTGAGCAGGAGCCCGAGGCCTTGAGCCATCTTTTGCACCTTTTCCAGGTGCATTTGTAGAGCAGCCAGAACTTAAATCATCACTCATATGGGATGCTGGCACTGCAGCTGGTGGCTTAACCTGCTGTTCCACAACCCTGGCCCTCAGCAGGTTATCCTTGATGAAAAGTGTGGCTTGGGGGGCCATAAGTTGATGGTGTGGGCATGAGGAGTTGGCAAGTAGCAGAAGCTAAAGGTACATGGTTAGCCCCTGTGTAATAGGAAATGAGGTCTGCAAGGGACGTAAGGGCCAGGTCACTCTGATCGGTAGGTGTCAGCTCTGCTTCTGAATTAGGATTACCTTGGGACAAAATAAATCAGCATCTCTGGGGATGAAGCTCAGGATTCAGATTCTGAAGTTCTGTTGTTAGATCCTGACATTGAGCTCAAGAACAAAAGCATTGATGTGTGCTTGGCATGCTGAAGAAAGAAGTTTGAATTTTATTCACAGAGAAAAGCCAAGCCATTGGAATGTTTGTGGTATCCTGCCCACTTCCTCCCTCAACCTCACTTCTGAATATCAAATTCTTAACTATCTTTCAAATATGTCATATTCTCTTAGATTAGAAGAGGCCTGTGACAATCTCTTGCCCTTGCTCCCCCACCCCCAACACTTCTCTAACTCTTGATGGATTGTGTTGTGTGGTGTGCATGCCTGTGCCCCACCAGAAGGCAAATTCCTCAATGGCAGGAACCATACATCCTCAAACAGTGTCTTGTACATGAAGACACAAAGAGGTGTTTTAAACAAGGAATGTAAGGGCTTTTTTGAAACAATTGCTTAGACCAAAAGCTGATGTTGTAGCACTTGCTTCGGCAAATCAAACTAGTCAATAAACAGCCTAATGATAGGCACTAAAAAATGGAGAGACTACAAGAGAGTTTCATCAGGTTACAGCTATTTGTTCAAATCGGGAGCACCTTAAAAGGCATGGTGCAATCAACACCAGGAGGACAAAATGTAAATCGTATGTTCTAAATATAGCTTCCTCTAGTGTGTTGAAGGAAGTAAGCATACATAATCAAAGTTCTAGGTTTTCCATTATGGTATAAATAGCATACAATTGCTATGGTTTCAATTGTGCATTAAGAAGAATCGTAGGAAAATGGTGTCCCTCATTTAGACTGAGATAAAGCAGAAATCCAAAGCCTCAAATGTACTGCGTTCGCAGCAAAACTGTACCTAGCTTTTTGTGCCTACTTTATCTTTATTTGTATTTACTTGATTTCCGTGGCTGTGATGGACATCTGCTTTGTTGTAAATTTGCAAATGAATGAATACTGAAGGGAAAAGAAAGCAAATTTCCTTTCTTGGGACCCTAAAATGTTCTTCAGTGTAATAAGGGAGGAAAAAATAGTGTAGATTGTCTGTTTAACAAATAGAAGTGAATTCCGCATAGAACAAAGGAAGTTACTTGACATGGGAACTTACCTTGAACAGCAGTCTACAAACAAAAAAATGTCCTTGTAAGGCCTGGGCTGGAAGAAACATTCAGATGTCTGGCCCACTCTAGTTCACATGGTGATACATAGCTCTCCTGGGTACAGACTGCCAAACTGAGTTAGTGTCAATGAAAGAAAATCGGAGGTGGACTTTCAGATGTTCTCATTCAGCTAAAAAGCAAAATACAGTTCAAAGTGCTTTTACCCACTGAGTTTTTCAAATAAGCACTCAGTAGGATAGACATATTGCCTGGAAGGAAGGCCTCATAGGAATACTAAAAGAACTGGATAGCGCTCATCATTTTCAATAGTGGATTCAGGGGATTACAACTGTCTTTTTGCCTGTAAGAGTAAACAGGTGCTAAGGATAATATAATCTTCCCATTCACATGGTCACTTAAACTGCTGATTTAAATTTAAATAGGTAATCTTCTTAAGGAGCTTTCTCCTAACCAGCTCTTTGCATTCAACAATGATCTCCACCCTCTCTTGACACAGACTAGCCCAGAGTGGCCACAACCTTCTGAGCTTCCACCTTCTACAGACTTTAGGTCAGGAATGGCACCACAGGTTACCCTTGAAGTTGAGCTCAGGGGCATACAAGATAATCTACATAGAAATCTGTGTAATTTCTTCCCCTGGGTATACAACAAAGCCTGGATTTACCGTGGTAAAATGCAAATGTAAAACTCAGCCTGCAAATCAAAACCACAATGAGACATCTCCTCACTCCTGATAGACTGGCTCTTACCCAAAACAGAAAATATAGCTGGTGCTGGTGAGGCTGTGAAGAAAAGGGAATTCTTGCACACTGTTGGTGAGAATGTAAATTAATATGGTCATTGTGGAAAACCATATAGAGGTTCTTCCAAAATTAAAGACAGAACTATCAGAAAATCCAGCAACCTCACCACTAGATATACAGCCAGAGAAAGTAAAACTTGTGTGTTGAAGAGACATCTGCATCACCAAGTTTCATGTGGCACTATTCACAGCAGGAAAAAAAAAGAAATGACCTAAATGTCTACCAACTGCTTACACATAAAGAAAATTGGGTACTTACACAAGACAAAATACTATTCAGCTATGTAAAGGAATAATTTTAATTCAAGAGGCAGAAAAAAAGATGGAGACATAGAGAGATAGACAGAGAGCATTCTCATCCACTATTTCACTCTCCATAGCATGAAACACTCAGGACAGGGCCAAGTAGAAGCTAGAAGATGGTAACACAACCCAGGCCTCCAGTCTGAGGGACAAGAACCCAAATATTTGAGCCATCACCACTGTCCAAGGCCTACATTGAAGTTAGGAGCTGGGGCTGGCTATTAAACCTAGGTAATCCAGTATGAGACGTGACTGTCTTAACAGCTATGCCAAAAGCCTGCCTAAGATGAAATTTTGTCATCTGCATTAACATGTTTATAAATGTAAGTCATTTTTTAAGTGAAATTAAGCTCAACTTTTACAGAAGCTACACTTGAATATATTATTCATTGGCAACCCTGAATCACCTTACATTATTCAAATTCAAACAGCCACACAGCATCTGGCAGTCACACATTTTAGGATACCTAGTTTTGGACAGCCCTCTGGCCAGCAGTTTTATTTCAGGACATCACTTTCTTGTCTCTAAAGCGGGGTAGGTACAGTTGTTGGGATGTGTTCTTGTCCGTTGACTTTTCTACAGCATTCGTTCTTGTGCTTTTGTAAAAATACAGGGGAAAGCAAAAATAACATTACTGATGCTTACTATAAGAATTATTATTGTATATGAAATAAAAAGGACTACTGTGTATACCTATCCATCATAACAAAGATAGATCCAATCAAGCTGATCATCTGCTTCAAATAGTCGCTCTTCAGGTCTCAGGTTAAGCCAACCATGGGTCAAATTGTAGAAGCGGAGAGAAAATTGTAAGACTTCTATGGAACGTTAGAAATGTGTCTTCCAAAGTTGTATCTTAAAGATTTTTTCTTTTTTATTGGTCAAAAGTAGAAAGTTATCCAAACATCTCAATTTCTAATATTCCATTCATAAACTCTACATAGATCTCTTCTTTAGTTGTGTTTATGTTTTTCTTCTCTACCTCACTATTGCTATGCCTACTGTGATGAGACCAGCTATTTATAAGACGGAGTGAATCCCAAGTTATTCAAATTGTTACAGTAGATGGCTGCAAAAAAAAGCATCAAAGCAATAAAAATTTAAGAATAAAAAATTAAAAATAAAAGCAAATGAGGTCTACAGATACTAAACTACAGAATATCTGTAGCATAAGGGGAAATGTCCCTGCCTGACTCCAAAGAGGAAAATGGTAAAATATAGATTGTACAAGAAGTATTTGGGGCAATTTAGTCCTAGCTTTAATGCTAGAACTAATAACTTGAAATATACTTGGACCAAACATGAATATACTAGTAAGATTTAATCAAATATTGAGCAGAGTCAAATATGAATTCTCAAAACGGGGCAATTGTCACATTTAGGAGAGCTAAGGGAGCTGCTGAATGTCAGAAAAAAAATGATCTGTGTTTCTATGATCCTGCAATTTTTAAGATGGAAAAATCTGAATAAACCCCTCCATCAGTGCTTGCCTTCAGAGTTGTTCTACCAAAATCTCCATCCCCTAAATTACAAAGGCCATCATCTCTTCCCCATCCTCCTTAAAGCATTCAGTCTTCAAAATGGAAATTGAAACAGGACTCCGAAATCTAAACCAGAAGCAAACAAAAAGGAAACCAGTCATTCAGAGTGAAAACGTGTCAAGAGAGAGGGTTTGAGTCAAATCCAGATGGCGATACGCCATGAAATACTAACAGAACTCTTCATTTTCAGCAGAGAGCAAGAGCAGGCAGTGTCTGTAATGATGTGTTAACATCTGTCTGCGAATATCATCTCCATGGCACCCAAGTGCACCACCCAAACAAAGTAAATTCACAGTGAAAGCAAGACTGTACCTTTTTGAAAATATAGGAAATTAGTATTTGAACTGACAAAGAATTACCGTATACATTTGACAAGTCTCATTAAAATAATGCCAAACCTAAGGAATGACTTTCATCCAAGGTAAGATGTGAAAAACAAAGCAGACATCAAGTATGGAAAATGTTTCACAGCGCCCCCCAGTGGTGGCAGGGGAGTGCAAGTAGAATATGCAATAAATGAAGGGTTGGGTGGTTGGATCCCTGTTACCCACATAGGGGGCTTGGATTAGTGGCCAGCTCCTGGCTTCAGCCTGTTCCAGCTCAGGCCATTGTGACCATTTGGAGAACCGGCCAGTGGATGGAAACATTCTCTCATATTTCCCACCCGCCTCTCTCTCCCTCCCACTCAAGTAGTTAAAAATAAACTTTTTAAAAAAATTCATGAAGAAGGCTACTACAAAAATTTCCTGGTAAATACGATTTAAAGGATAATGTGTGCATTCCATGAAATTTTGAAGATGCATCATAAACACCTAGTAAACTCCTTACCTGCTGATGCGTGCTCAGCAAATGTTAGTTTTCCTTCTGCTTTGATATAGCTCCGTACTTGCCCATTCATTGTAAAAGTGGCTTATGTTGGCTTGCACCATGGCTCACTAGGCTAATCCTCCATCTGCGGCACCGGCACCCCGGGTTCTAGTCCCTGTCGGGGCGCTGGATTCTGTTCCGGTTGCTCCTCTTCCAGTCCAGCTCTCTGCTGTGGCCCGGGAAGTCAGGGCCAAGTGCTTGGGCCCTGCACCCGCATGGGAGACCAGAAGGAAGCACCTGGCTTCCGGCTTCAGATCAGCACAGCATACCGGCTGTAGCAGCCATTTTGGGGGGTGAACCAACGAAAGGAAGACCTTTCTCTCTGTCTCTCTCTCTCACTGTCTAACTCTGCTTGTCAAAAAAAAAAAAAAAAAACTGGCTTATGTTTTTATATATTTCTAGTTATTATTTTAAAATTATATATTTTATATATAATATATATTTTAAAATATTTACAGTTATTATTTTCAACCATACTTATTCAGAACCCTTTCCCATCCTGAAGATAATCCAGGGCAGATTTCTTAACTTATTAAAAAGCTCTTGTTATTAGAACTCAGATCAATCAACATTAAAACCCCAGCTTCACAGCTGATTCAGTCGCTTGCTTCTGCTACCTCTGGTTGTAATTGCGAAGTGATCTAAAGCAAGGATTGTGACCCGCTCTTCCACCACCTCCGCAGTGGCTTTGCAAGCATTACCCCAGGAAAGTGGTTACCAGGAGGATGGACTGGGAGGAATGACCGATGCCACTGCTTAACAAAAAGGGGAATGATGAGAACAGTTTTCAATCATGGCAAATCTAGTAACTGTGCTCCCACTGTCTTATGAGTGTTCCCTGTGTGGGCAGACACTGTAGAACCCCAGTGAAGAAAGGGTAAAAGTGGCACTTAAAAGCGCCCTCAGTAACTACACAAAATAAATATTCCTCCATAATTTATGAAAGTTCCTTTCTGAAAATGATATATTAACATCATTTAGATTTTACAAATATATAGCTTGCAATTCAGCAGTTGAGAAACTATCAAACTATCATTTCTAACATCTAGGAAATGACATAGTTAAGTTGAAAGTTTGGTGCTTTTTTTTGGTCTTTGTACTGTATATCATGAAAGCTATTTTTTAAGAAAAACTAGTGCCTTTACCCGCTCACCCTCATGAAATTACTCTATACATCCTAAAGCATATAACTTTTAAAAGCCTCAGAGCAAATGCTTCAAAGTTGTAGCTGAAGTAGATTTAAAACATATTTATGTCCTAAACTATCTTTGAAAAAGTGCTTATGTTTACTAACCTGGTGCATTTTTAATTTTGTTAAAAATTTCCAAATTTGAGATAATATATTTTCTAAAAAAAACTCTTAGTTATTATTGTGTGAAATGATCATATATATTAACCCAGTCACACAAAAATGACTCAGATCCATTGGATTTTCTGACTAATCACAGCAATAACATAATTTGGCCTTTAATATGAGTTTTCTCTCTTTATTTAATGCATGTACCAACTGGAACTTTCTTTCAATGTATAATGCAGGCTCACTGCTTGCTTTCAACAGCAATGTTCACTGCTCGCAAAAGAATGATTATTTGCTGGAAACAAAGATGGGATTCATTCAAAAAGAGAGTCTCTGGCAAGGTCTGTAGTGGTGAAGTGGAGAACAGAGGCAATTAGCAACAGTTACTGAACACTCCCCTTTCACAACCCTTCCTAAGTGTGCCCTATGGATAACTACAGTGAGAGCAACAGCCTCTGCCTCCATGGAGCTGAGTAGGATAATCTAAAGAAAATCACAATACACATGAGTAAAAATGCTAGCCATTGAAAGACACAAACAAATGCAGCAAACATAGCTTCGCTTTATAGCACACCTGCCTTTGGAGATGAGACTACTGCTGCAGCTGTGTGCTTGTTTGGAACAGCTAGAGTCAAATAAAGAATAAATGAGAGCAAAATAACACAGGACCAGTCTAATGTAACACAGAGGAGTAACAATAAGCTTCCCGTGTTAGAGGAATCAACAATCTCCTAAATGACATTGAACATGGGACACACCGTCTAACCAAACTGCTGATACAATGCTCATCTGTGAGGCTCACTGGGAAAATTCAGTTCTGTGATCACAGTGTATGGGCCCCAGTGTCTTGGTACAATCTCACTGATCTGCCCTTCCCTAAAACACAGTCTTGCCCCAGGATTGCCTTCTGGCATAAAGAAAAGAGACACAGTAGCTCAGAGGCCAGAGTAGCCCCTACCCATTCAGCCTGGGTTGTCTTTAGACATTGCCTAGGGTTAATTAGTAGAATTATCCTGTAGCGTTCTAGCAGACCATTTTAAGTAAATGAATAATAATGATATCTTTTTGTGTCAATTGTATTGGATGTTATTTTCAATGTTTTAAGCATTTTTATTGATCATTTACTATGTTGTCAATGCTGCTTTAACCTGCATGTGAACTAGCCAAGTTTCTGCTGTAATCATTTTGTCTAACAATCAGCTGTGGGTTAAAAACAATTTCTCATCCTCATGTGATGGCAGATGACCTGCCGGTGGGTGGTTCTCAGCATGCCTGCCTCTGCTGCCCTGCACCGGTTGTCGAATCAATCTGAGTCGTCATCTCAACACAGGGGATAAAGAAGGCTCCCTTGCACTTGTTTTTGTGGAGGCAAAGGGCAGGTGTTCCCAGAGCACTGGTTCTAAGTTGACCTGCCTCTGATCAGCCATTCAATCATTTCTGCTCACCATTCCATGCATTGAAGGAAGTTTCACTTGACCAAACCCAAAGCCAGTAGGGAGAGATTACATGCCATCCATAGGGAAGGGGTTGAAGTTAGGGGAGAGAAGAAAGAATTATTTACCTATAGAATAATCTATCTCATGGTAGAAGGAAAGAGACACATTAAAAAGACCTACAACCTGGTGATAACTTAAAAACATTATGGTAGGAAAAATCACACTTGCAAAAGAGGTCAGAATGTGGCAACTTTAGCAAAGGACAGATGACTCAAGCTGATGCCCAGCCCAGGTGCCGCGCCGCCTCTGGGCAGGCATTTCTTGCAGGCACTGATGGGGATGTTTCCACAGCACACCCTCCTCACTTTCAATTGCCTTAGCCTCCTGACAGTGGAAGACCAAAGAGCACTGGCCTCTGCCTCACACATTCACACTTCTCAACCCCTTTATCT